AGAACCCCAAAATTGTCTTAAGAACAAAAACAAGGTTCTCAGAACATAAAACCGATGTATTAAAACAAGACGGTCCCAGCCAGATTTGGTCTAAGAACATTTCGTGGGAAACCTCAAAAGGTTCTTGGAACATTGTTTGGTAGGCCTATAGGAGCGCCAGGTCGCTTCGCCATTACTTGACATAGGGGGCGGAGCGGGGTGTGCGGCCGATACTAAGAATAGGTCGGGCATGTCCTCTCACAGGCGGAGTTTGAAGGAAACTGAAATTTAAAACATATCCCCCAATAGAAAAAACACCACGAAAAATCGTCCCCAAACTATGTTTTGACTTTTCTTGAATATTCCTCCTGTGCAAGGACATGCCCGACTTCATAGTTAATAAGAGGACATGGGGCCTGTGAGAAGGGGTCTGTGCCTTTCACGAGGCAGGAGGGCTTCGTGGGAGGACTTCTGACAAACCCCGCCTGCTCAGAAGCCCCCCCCACTAGCGCCAACGCCTTTACGCCACGAAAGTATATACACAGACCCTCCTTCAGGAGGTGGACGGTGAATACAGTCGCTGGCCCTCCGTAGTGATTGAAACACCGCCACCCTCCCTGATGCCCAAGAACAGTCAATACAGTGAAGGATGTCTCTGTATGTTTCGTTTGTGGCGAAGCCTTGGCCCGCTCCGGGAACCCTCACCCCCGAAATGTCCACACCTCTTGGAGGCCCGATTTTACTCGTGCGGGCCTCCGCCAACTCTCCGCAAACTTCCTCGTCTTGCTTCCGTCGGCCTTCTGCCGAGGAAGGGACGTCAACCTCTCGACCCTCCGAAGACGAACGGCCTTTTTTGGAACTCCCCATGTGCTTAAGCAGGATGCGTCAGTGAATGAGCCAGCCTGCGAACAGACTGGCAACGAATGAAGAACGTGAGGGAAAATGCCATACGAGGCCGGCTAATTCTCACGCCGACGTTGTACAGACCTCGATGAGGAAGCGGCCGGCAAGGCGGGCGCTGGTGCCAGCAGCTCCGTGAGCCACATATGCAAAACGGACGTCATGTCTTCAAAATCCCTGCCAGCTTGCTTGAAAACATAGGCCGCTTGAGATGCACCTGCACCTACCCTTGCCAGGTCGACATTCAGGCGCTTCCAGAACTGACGGAAAAACTCATTCGCCTTCAAATGAGGATGTCGCTCGATGGGCCACTGTTTGCCGGCCATGCCCAACACGTCGTTGTTCGAGACCGGGCTTATACCTGCACGACCATCCTTCGTGCGATATGGAGGCCCCGGGGAGGGGAAGGGGAACCAACGTCTCATTCAATCGATCTGATCATCGATCAAATTCTCGATCTCACAACTGATCTCACGATCGATATCACAATGGATCTCACTATCGATCTCACGATCGATCTCATTATCGAGCATACAAACGGTCACAGTATCGATTGAACAATCGAAGTCACGATCGATCTCACAAGCGATCTTCCGATCAATCTCACAACAGATCTCATTACCGATCTTCCAATCGATCTCTCCATCGATCTGACAAACGAACCCAAAAATCGATCTCACATTCGGACTTACGATCGATCTCATAACAGTTCTCACCATCGGTCTCACTATCGATCTCACAATCGATCTCCCCATCGCTTCCACTATTGGCCTCGCAATCAATCTCACAAACGATATCACTGTCGATCTCACTATCGATCTCGCTGTCGATCCCAATGAAGATCTCACGAGCGATCTCACCATCGATCTCACAACAGATCTCACGATCGATCTCACTATCGATCTCACTTTCGGTATCCATATATTTCACTACCGACCTGCCAATCGATCTCAATATCGCTCTCATTATCGATCTCACCTCACATCGCACTGTCGATCGCACAACCGATCTCACTACCGAGTTGATAATCGAACTCACTATCGATCTCACAAGCGATACGACGATCGATATCACAACATATCTTAGTATCGATATCCCAATCGATGTCCCCATCGATCTGATAATATAACTCACTATCGATCTGCCATTCGGACTCACGACCGATCGAACACTAGTTCTCACAATCGGTCTCACTATATAGTTATCCATCTCAATCGATCTCACCATCTATCTCACTGTGGGTCTTACGACCAATTCACGAAACGATGTCACGAACGATCTCAGTATCGATCGCACGGTCGATCACACTATAGATCTCAAGAGCGATCTCGCCATAGATCTCACAACAGATCTGACGATCGAGATCACAACAGATCCCACAATCGAGCTCACAAACAGATCTCACGATCGATCTCGCAAACGATCTCACCGTTGATCTCACAGCAGATTTCTCAATCGATCTCACCGCCGCGCCACCGACGGGACACCGCCGCGCCACCGACGGGACACCGCCGCGCCACCGACGGGACACCGCCGGCCACCGCGCGCCGGGGGGGGGGCGGACAACGGGCTCCACAGCCCCTAGGCCCAGCGGCATCAGTGCTCTCGCGCGCCCAGGCAGCGTCGCCCCGCCTGCACGCACGACACGAACACAAAACCGAAACCGATTTCTCGGTGTGGGGCTCTCCGTTCCACTGCGATCTCACCCCCAACCTCCGATCCACCTCCGCGGCGTAGGTGAAACTTACCACTCGTTTGCTGTCCAGCTGGGTTCCCGCACTCTGCTCAAAGGCCAAGGCCACTCCGACCAGCGCCTAGCCGCCGCCCCATCCCAGTCCGAGGCCGCCAGGGCCATCCCGACGCCTCCCAGTTTGTCCCCAATGCCTCCAGAAGGCCCACAATAGCTTCTAGGACGGTCCTGAAGGCCACCAGTGCAGCAACGATGGCCCAAGGCCCGAGAAGAACCCTCGAGGCATCCAAGAAGCTCCGGGAGGCCTCCAAGAGGAACTCAAGGAGACCACGCGGGAGTTTAAAAAGCACTGAAAGACCACTGGATGTTCAATGTTTCCTGCCTGTCGCCCTACTTCCTCAAAGAAGCCATAGGAAACCCCGATGTTCCCCACCAACGGTTCCACGGAGTCTCCAGCAATCTCCAGAGGGCCGGAAGACGGCCCAAGACAGGCCCACAACGGCCCGAAAACCCCACCCAAAGTCGACGCCAAAACGTCACAAGACAAGCCCAAGACAAGCCCAATACGGCCGGCCCTGGGACACAAACGGCCTGAATTCCATCACGTGCCCCCCAGAATGCCTCCGAGAGGCACCTCTTCAAGAGCCTCACCCGCGAAACAACCCCAAATACCTTGCTGGCGCAAGGGCAAAACCTGACGCACATCACAACCATCTGGGATCCTTGGGCAAACCGGTGTCCCATACTGCGGCCCTCTCTGGACGCGGGAAGTGAGCAGTCCACGGCCCTCAGGGGCCTGGGGACGAGAGGCATCACACATTACAACCCTCTGGATCCTTGGGCAAACAGGTGTCTCATGCTACGACCCTCACCGGACTCGGGAGGTGAGCAGTCCAAGGCCCTCACGGGCCTGGGAACGGTGGGCGTTACAAATCATAACCCTCTGGGCCCCGTGAAGGGTACGTCTATAATCCGCCAGACCCTTGGGGGTGTCAGACTGTAAGAGTTGTCGCTGGACATGAATGTATTTGTCTTGTGGCATGCGCGTTGTCCTAGGCTTTGTGGCCTATAGCTTCTCCAACCCAGATTCTATGTAACGGTCTGCCAAGGAACCGACCCACACTAAAACAAGCTCCCGCTCCCCAACAATCAGGTGCGAAAAGCGCCCAAATATCCCAAGACCGAAGATGGCCCCCAAATGCATCTAATGTTGCCCCAGAGGGCGCCAAGACACACTTGCCAGGGGAGCAAGTACACTGAACACAATATTGATTTGAATATGGTTGGCATGTCCCACGGACAAAGATCGGTCAAAGACGGCCCCAACAGTCCTGAAGATGCCGCCGAATCGCCCCGAATGGCAACAATATGGTCCCAAGACGCCCTCAAGATGGCAGGGCCTCTAGATAGCCCCGAGATTGCCTGAGTTGACCCGACGATTGTACCATAGGCGCCAAATGTGCCCCCGAGAGACCCCATGATGACCCCGAATGTGTTCCAACATTGCCGCAGCATGGCCCAGCCTGAGTGGCCGTCGGCAGATGGCGCAGCCACTCAGATCCGACCTCCTCCGGCGGCGGCCTTTGGTATGCGAGAGAATGTGGCTCATTTGTGTGACCAGCACGGGCCGGCGCCTGGCTACGAGCGCACGCTGACATGGAGTACGGATCCGCATGGAAGCGGGGCCCGCCGCTGACCCACTTGCCTTGGATGCCCGCTTCGGGCCTCCTGGTGGAACCTGGGGTTGATGGGGTTCTGCTGGGGTTCTGATGGGGCCGCGCGGGGTGCCCCTTGGTTCGAACGCCTGAGGCTGCGAGATTCCTGGCATCAGGGTTTGATGGGCCGCGCCTCGGCCCGAGAAAAGTTGGATCGCCACTTCTTGCCCCCGACTTGATCACCCATCTTCTAGCATACTTCACAGACGCTTTGCGTAAAGCATTGCTGTGTCTTCCATTGCACGCAGCGTTGCGTTGCACGCGGCATTGCATTGCAGGCGCGCGTTGCATGCGGCATTTCACGCAGCAACCGCGCAGGCCTCCTACGGAGCTTCCAGAGCGTAGGTTTGATGAGGTCACCCCCCAGTGCCCGAGGGATGACTTTTTTTGCACCCCCCTGCAGGGATCCACAGGCCCTAGCCAAAAACCGCCCAATCGTGCAGCTATGTGTAGGCGGGTTCAAGAGCGTAGGTTTGATGAGGTCACCCCTCCAGCGCCCGAGGGAAACACGTTTTTTGTACCCCCCAGCAGGGATCCACAGGCCCTAGCCAAAAATCGCCCCTGGGGAACGTGTAGCCGAACTCCACCCATTTTCCCCTCATCTCCTCCAACGCGAAATCTGTTTGGCTCATGGCGTTCTGCCTCGGCTCGCATGTCCGACGATTGCGCGTCGGACGAAGACTTTCTCGCCAAGTCCTCGCGCGGTTCTTCGCGCGATGAGGATTTTCTGGCGGATGCTGAGGGTGCCCTTCGCGTCGCTGAGCCAGAGAGCGACGAGGATTTTCTTGCCTGACGAGCCGCTCGTCGTCGCAGATGGGCCCGGGCAGGCAGCGGCTGAGGGAGACGGGCCAGGTCTGGACAGCATGCTCGCGCTGAACGCGGCGGCCGCCTACACGCCCCCAGCCGTGGTCAAGCGCGGCCGCAGGATATTGCCGAAGACTGCTCAAGCCCTCGTTCGGTCCCTGCAGCCGCTGCCATCGGATATGCTGAACTCTGGAGTGCCTCGTCTGACATCGTTCTTGTTGGACGCCACGCTGGGCAGGTCGACGGCGCTGGCCACCACGACAAAGCTTCGCCGTGAGTGCGGCGTGTCTGCAGGATCGTGGCACGACACTTGCGACGCCATCAGCTACGCGACGTTCCAGGTGTTGCGCGGCACGTTCGAGCGCTTCGCCAGGTCGCTGCTGGGGTGTGCAGGGCAGGGAGCGGCGGGGCTGGGCGTGGAGACGCATTGGATCCGTTGGTTCACTTTTCGATTTCGCTCGTACGACGGGACCAAGCAGTTCGTGAGAGTCGTCGGCAATGTGAGCACGTCGGTCGGATCAGGAAGTGCATCGTTCATCGAGCCGTCGGCTGCCAAGTACGAGGTGTACGTTTCAAGTGCATCGCGGGCTTTTTGCTTGATGAAGGGGGCCCGCCCGCAGTCGAGGCTCTTGACCCTGATGGTCAGGGAGCCGACGCTGCTGCACACGTCAGATGGGACGAAGGCTGAGTCCACCAACGCGGCGTTGGCCCACCTCGCATGCAGCGTCGATGTGGAGTTGGAGCGCATGTTTCTCAGGAACGTCGATGTCGTCATCACCGACGAGGCTGGTGCGAACATTCGTTATGAAAATGCTCGCCGAGCTGCTGCGTCGCGCCCGTCAGCCCTTTTGCACCTCTTCTGCGACGCTCATGAGAAGTCGAAGGTTGCGAGCTTGGGCCACGCGGTCCAGAGGCCGACCGACACGATGCTCATCCGCATGCAGCTTGCCACGAGGGGGAACATGCCTCGGATAATGAAAGCGATGCGGGGCCTCCTGGCCGAGCGGCTCGTCATCGTCCATGGCGGCTCGATGGAGGACGCTGGTGCTGCATGCGCCCAGCATGTGTATGACACGTTCCTCCCTGTTCGGTCATCTGGCGACAGGTTTCGGCGACGAGGTCGCAGGCAAGCTGGCCGCGGCGCTGAACGTCTCGGACGCGTCCTGAATGCAGGAGCGAAAACAGTCTTCGCCACAGGGTGAACGGCTACTGTTCCATCGTGCCCTCCCCCTTCCCCCCGTGCACTCTCCTCTCCCGTCCGACTCACTCAAGTGGCTTGCGCCATTCCGCCGACACCGTGGGCGAGTGAGAGCTTGCGGTTATCGTGGAAGCTGTTTTGTTGGTCGGGGCACCCTTGGGATGCATATGAAAGTCTCTTGAGATACCTCTCAGGGTCCTCTTGGAGGTCTCGTAGGGTCATCTTGGGGTCTTCTGGGGGCTTCTTGGGGGCTCATTGGGGTTTGATGAGGTCTCCCCGAGCGCCCGCGGAACGTTTGTTGTTCGACCCGCCCCACCCTGAAGGGATCCTTTGGCCCTAGATCGAAATTTACCCCGTAGGGCTGTTAGGGTAGGTCGGCGCGTGTATTTCTTCATGGGTTCCTCTGTAATTAAAGCTGTGCGCGGCCCGCTTAGCTTCGACCGGGAGAGGCTCGCTCTCGACCCGCGAATCAACAAAAATCTTCATGGAGTATTGTGTGATCACGGGCGGGTGTCCCTCCGACGTGGCGGCCCGAACCCTAGCCATAACCACAACCTTGCTTTTTAACCGACCCCTTGCGGGTAGCTTCATCGTGACCCGCAGCCCAGTCTGTGTCCTCGTCCCTCGCATGGCTCAGGGGCCTCGCGAGCGTAGGTTTGATGAGGTTTCCCCCCAGTGCCCGCGGGATGCGTGTTTTTTTGACCCGCCCTGCAGGTATCCATGTGCCCTGAAGCGAAAATCGCCCAGTAGGACTGTGGGACGTAGGTGGGCATGCTCGGTAGCTGCATGGCAAAATGTGCTGATGGTCGGGCGCCTACCCGTAGCGGCGGCCCCAGCCCGAGCCCTGGCCAGAGCGTTTCTTTGAACCGCCCCCCTTCGGCAACTTCATCACAACCCCACCCCATCACACTCTCAGCTCTACTCCTTCCCCTCGCCATTGTCATCCAGCGGGAAGCCCGCGCGGCGGGCGCGTTGCCCCATGATCACCGCGATGTGACAGTCCTTGCTCCCTGCCAGAGCAGGACCAAATCAAATATCGTATCTGTTTTCTCCCACCAATGGGCCGCAGGAACGTCGCCCATCAATCAGTTCCCATGTGGCGAAAGACGCGAAATCGCCCCATCAAAACCTCGTGGCTGATTTCTCGCACCGTGGGCCGCCAGAGAGTGGCCCGTCAACGAACTCTCAGTAGCCTGAGGACACGAAATCGTCCCATCAGAACCCCATGGCCGTTCTGCCATCAAAACCCGATCAACCCCAGAACCCACTAGGAGGCCCGACGCGGGCACCCAATACTTGCCTAAAGATAACATAGATGTTCGACGGTCCGCGCGGATTTCTTGCATCGGCGCTGGACGGAGCGCGCCGGGGGCGGCGCCGGAGGCGCCGCCAGGGGGTCCAAGCGCCGACCCAAGAAGTCAGCGCGGAGCACGGAACGTTGATGTCTATGCGTTTGTCCTTCTGCGGCTAAAAATCACGTCTGCGCCACCTCGGCGGCTCAAGACGTCCTAGAGAACTTTCTCCCTGTGCCTGGGGCGCCACTCCGCCGGCGGTCCCCCGCGGCACCCCCGCGGGCCCACCGGGGCGCAGACGGCCGGCTGCACGGCGCCAGGACGGCCACCAGAGAGGACAGGAAGACAGCCAAGCTACAACACACACCGCTTTGAGGAGAGGGCGCTTACGCGCGGCCTTGCGCGGGAAGCTTGCGCGGGAAGCGTACGCGTGAATGTCGACGTAGTTGACACCGCTTTCTTGTGTCGCTCAGCTAGCAGAGCCGCCCAAGATCAGCCCAAGACGGCCCAGCGCTGCCCCAGTGAGCGCAACGTGCCCTGACGATTCCCCAGGGGAGTCTAAGAATCTCCCCTGAGGCGCCCAAGGGGAACTCCAAAGAGGCCCTGGGAGGCCCACAGCATTGGAACACACATTGCGTTTTGACGATTCCAGGAGGCGTACTCGCTTCAGATACCCGCGGGAAGGCGTCCGAGGGCCTTACGAGTCCCCGAGAAAGACGCGCCAGGATGACCCCAAGATGGCCCGCCGATTGCCCCCAGCCCCCACCCGTATTTTCCAAAAATGGTCCGATCGAGCCTCTTCCAACTCATGCAGGCACACCTTCGCGATCAAGACGGCCTCCAGTCGGGCGTTGGCAGAACTGGCTTTCATGGGACCTGGTTTAGTGATGTGTACTGGGGGAGGCCCCCCCCGCCCCGTTCTACTAACCGGAATTGCCGTCACACGAAAAATCACCAACTACGGCAAACCTGGGCGAGCAACGACATATGTACATGTACGCCCTCCGCGGTCTCGCCTGCACGAACGTCCGCGTGGACACGCACTCCAGGGGAAACTGACCGCGTACGTGTACATATGTTGCTGGCCTCTGAAAACCTGGTTTAGCGATTCTGGCCAATTCAGGGGCTCCGGGGCCCTACTACTAACCGGGTCCCCTTGACTGGGGTCCTGGCTATACCCGATCTAGGCCCCCCAGCAGGACCCCAGCAGCCCCAAAGACGCCCTCCAGAGGGCCTCGAAGACCGCCCCCAAGCTCCCAGGTTGCCCCTTACGACGAACTCCAGAAGTCTGCAGGGAGGACCCCGACACCGCGGGTTGGAACGGCTGGAGATGCGCCGCTCGCCTCCTCGATCTGGAGCCTTGGGAAGGAAACTGTCACACATCACGGCTGCGTCTCGACCTGTGAAGATGCTTGTCATGCTCAAGCCGTCTTCGAACAGGGAAAGCGATGTTTTACGGACCCCTGCTGGCACCTGAATAACGAAGACGCTACAAAGTGCGGCCCCGCGGGACCGAGCGAGACCAACCCATGTTATGGAGTGTACAGGCCTGGAGAAGGACTTATCACATGTGGCGGCCATCTGGACCCCATGGCGTCACAAACTACACCCGTCTTGAAGTGCTGCGCTGGCACGGTGGCGGTCGCTTCCCACGCATCTGGCAGACCCTTGGAATCCTGATCATCCGACACTGTGCCGAGGTGCGGCATGTGGAGTGTCCCCAGGTCCCTTCGGATTCTTTGTAATCGATCCCGCATCAATTCTTTCGGCGCCCCACGGTCGCGTGATTTCTCGGAGGCCTCGCAAACGATGATTGTGTGCAGCCACTCTAGGAGCACTCGCTCGAACCACAGCGCCCAATGCCCCCCAAGAGGCACCAAACAGGGCCCCAACAGCGCGCCAAGACGCCCCTAAGAGGCACCCACAAAAGGCGAAATCCTTGCAAGAATCCTCCGCGAAATCTGGGGTAACGCAGCAACCACGCAACGTGACGGCCACTCCCCACTACAACATCGTAGCATTGCTTCCCTCCTCCCTCCACCATCCACCCTGCTCCTCCTCCTCCTGCTCCTCCTCCTCCTCCTCCTCCTCCCCTCCTCCTCCTCCTCCTCCTCCTCCTCCTCCTCCTCCTCCTCTCCTGGGCCCATGAAGACACGGTAACGTGTCTGGTGAGAATGGCAGAACCATCTTGAATGTAATTCGATGCTGCGATGGCAAGGCGGTCGGAATTACCAGAAGAAGCTGGTTATGACGGCTCTGCTCGACGCGGCACCTTTGCACTGCACACTCACGTTTACGCTGGCGCGGCTTCATCCGGGCCAGCATGTATTCCACTAGCATTGCTTCAGCTGCGCGGTCCGCTGGCGAGTGCCGCCTAAAACGTGCGCATATAGGAGATGCGTCCGCGTCAGCTGTCGCAAGCAAACTGGGCAGTTCAGAATTACTGCTCCCTACATAATGCCGAGTGATCGCTTGATCTGAGCCCACAAGCTCGGCGAATCTCGTGGGGACCGCAATTCTCGCAGACTGTGGTATGACATCGGCTACCTCGCTCACTCAGTTGCGGAGGCTGCGGCTGGCCTCGAGTCTGAGGCTGGCTGCGAGTCTGAGGCTGGCATCGCGGCGCCTTCAATCATGGGGATCAGGCGGAAGTTGTATTGAAGCAGGGGCTGGCTGAAGCCCACGAAGCAACCCATCAACGATACCACCATGACGTACTCCGCCATTGCCACAGCATTCGAGCGCGCCCGCAGGCTCAGGAAAAGGAATATAGAGAGCAGCACGGAGCCGTAGCAACCAAACGAGAACAACTTCCAGGGTAGCGTCCACGACAACAGTGCCGACCCTGATGGGAACTTCTGCTGCGCCATCTGAATGCATAGGTGGGAACATCCAAGTAGTCCAAACGTGAGGACGCTGAACACGAGGAACAGGTAAAGCCCCAAATAGTGAACGTTGGTGTCGAAGCTGGAAGAAAAAAGGCCCACGATCCACAGACCGAGTGACGCCAGAATGCCACACACGAGAAAGCCCGTCGGAAGACGGGCTCTCATATGCATAGGTTCCCCCCGCCGTTCCCAGAAGTAGCCTGAGAGGCGGAAGAGTGCCCAAAGGTCCACCAGTTGAAATGCGGAAGCTGCTGTCAATGCGATGCGGAACGCGTGCACCGACACCCATGTGGCGCTCGCGCTGTCACTGATGAGACGGATGTCCTGGTAGCCTCCCACATCGGAGCCTTGCCAGCCCTCGTGCATCATGCGCCAGCCGTAGTAGTCAGTGCCGCAGAGCACCATGCTTCCCAGGGACACTGCTGGAACCCCCCACGGCAACAGATGGATGAAATGCCATTCTGGCCAGTACGTGCGGCCATGAAACCACCAAGCAGCTCCGGCTGCAGAGGATGCAACCAACGCCATAAGGCCAAATGCTACACACAAACCCGTCACCGAGTACGGGGTAAACTGCCACGCAACGTCTACCCGATGGCAATCCGAATCCATAGCCCAGCAAGTGTGTTGTGATCCGACTTGATACTGATCCAACGCCGCATTTCCTTCCGCATGGGTGTTGTACGCCCTTCCTGCAATTTCGCCTCTGCGCACCGAACTGCATGAGCCCGCTGGCATCCACACAAGCCAAAGAGGCCGGAAGCAGAGCACGTCTGCGTCGCCCACCTC